CCCTGGGCTCTTCTGTCTGCTCAGCACAGGGCTGTGTCCCCAGGCCAGGCCTTCACTTAATTTCATTAGAGTCTGTCCTATGGTCGCCCCTAAGCTCCTAAACCAACAACAATTAAAAGCAAGGGGCATTCCTTAATTCCTAATTCCAGTCGACTTAGGCAAGGCATTATCCAGCTGATCTGAGAGCCCTTTTCAAAGCCCTGATAACAAACCTGTCAGACACTCGGCTGGGTTCCTTACATTATCTAGTCCTCCAGTGTCCCCACCCACCTCACAGGTGAGGAAGGAACCCACAGACGCAGGGCTTAACCTGCTGAGGTTCCTGGGACAGGATGTGGGCCCATCTGGACAGGAGCCTGGACCAGTTATTTCAAAATCACTGGCCATGACCGGCCCTGTCCCCAATTCCATCTTCACAGAGGAGCCTCACTCAAACACACCTTTGTTCCACCCACAGTGGACAAAGTGGACAAAGTGGATCTGGAGAGACCCAGAGGTACAGAACGTGGGGTCACAGCAAGGCAAGGCCATGGCCTAAACTGTTTTACCAGAATCACTGTAACGGTCATGCAAATTACAAATCACCCCGCCCCCCCCCACATCTCTACCCCTTTGGCCCCCAGCTGGCATCACATGCAACAATGGCCAAGGCATCTTCCTGCTTTCTACACACACACACTAAAACATCACTTTTCATACAAGGGTTAAATCTCTTGGTTCCAAGTTAAAGTGTCAATGAAAGATAAAAGAAAAAAAATTTTAGTTAAAATGTCAAAACACAACTTTGCCAAAGAACTGTAACCAAAGTACACTCTGCATGAACAAAAGTCCTTCCCCCAGCCCATGGCCACCAGCTGTTAAGAACTGAGAGACGCCCTCCTGCAGGGAGACATTCAGAATCCGGGAGCCTGGATTCTTCCCCTTCACCTCACACCTTGCTGTTCTCCTGGGCAACTTCCACAGGGCCTCCCTGGCCCAGGTGACCCAGGGGACCGTCACCCCAACCTCAACACATCCCTGGGGCTATGTGGAAGCCTGAGGAGGTCTGAGGGGTCCGACCTGGCTTGCTATTTATCTTTCGCAAGCCTCCAATTCCCTCTGTACAATGGGCTGTGGCTCCCACGCCCTGGGGGCAAGGGATGTGTTTTCTGGTAAAGTGCTAGACCAGCACATAGGGGGGGCTTACAACTATGATGACTGCTCCTAGCCAGAGTCTGTCTGGCACTTGGAGCAGATTAATTGCCCTGTCCCCAGTCGTTCGCTGGTGGTTGAGCTTGTGCACAGGATTCTGTCATCAAATACGGCAGGCTGAGGCAGGAGGGCCGGGCACCCTGCAAATCACAGTTCCCATTCTCGCCCTTTGTTTCCTCAACTATGAAATGGGGACCGCACCTTCAGGACAGAGGGTGCCGCACAAACCGGAAACCACTCAGGCCAAGTCTTCTAGTCTACACCTGGCCCGCACCTTCCAGCCACTCTCCAGGAGCCTGATCTAAACTCCCGCTGAAGAAAATTACCAGGCCGGGTGCCTCTGCTGCCTGACCCCATGTGGTCCTGCGTGACACCCACAGCAGGGCTAAGACAGAGGTCTGTGCCCCTCAGCTGCCTGGGCCAGGCAGAAGGCAGCAGGAGCACTATAATTAGAGGACCATGCTGACATTTCCCTCTTCACTCCAGACGTTTATTATGCTTATTTCCTGTGAGCCGGGCCAGTCCTGAAGCACTAGGGCGGGGACTCCAGGCACAGTGAACGCTGAGCAACCCTTCTGTGCCCCCTGTGCTACGCTTCCCAGGGCCAGCTAGGAGCAGCGCTGGGCCTCTCACCGCCTTCCCTGCTCACCTCACTCAAGTTCCCTCTCCCTATCTTTCCAGACCAGATAAAGGCAGGTTTTTATTTTATTTATTTTTAGTATTAGGGGTTGAACCCAGAGGCTTCACACTGAGCCACATCCCTGACCTACTTTTTATTTATTTTGAAATAGGGTCTCATTAGTTGGGCCTGAACTTGCAATCCTCCTGCCTCAGCTTCCAGGTGCTGGGATTACAGGCCTGCACCACCAAGCCTGGCTCAGATTTTCTTTACAAGGAGAGTCCCCTCTAGCGTGAGTCTGAGGGCAAGTCACACCCAAGGAGACACACGGGAGCTCATAAACAGGGCTTATGAGACTACACTGTCTCCTATTAGAATGCTCCAGATGACCCTGATGCCTGTCCCCTCTCCTGTGGGACAGACACCAGCCGGGAACATCAGCCATTAATGGTGGGGGTGTTGTCAGGCACTGATCTCACCTGGAAGTCAGGTGTCTAAGCAGGACAGGTAGTAATTCATTTGAAATTAATGTAACGGCTCCTTTGGATATTTCTCACAGGAACTGCTATTAGTGCAAACGTTCCCAATTCCCCTCAGTAGCTCTTATGGGCTGCGTATTGCTGAAGCATTTCACGTTTCTGAACCTTACATTTCCTCATCTGGAAAGTGCCGACTGTGCTCCTCATTTCAGAGCTCTTAAAAGAAAAAATGAGATCATGTATATCAATCTGTAAGAATTGGTTCTGACATAATATAAATTGTGACTTTTTAAAGAGAAAATTAAGGAGCCACACGTTAGGGTTCCTGTATGCGAGGGGCCACTCTAAGTAAGTTTGTGCCTTTAGTTCCACACCACCCTGGAAGCAGGTCCTATTACCAGGCCCATTCCACAGGTGCGGAAGAAAGGGTCAGAGAGGTCAGAGGTCAGGCAATTTGCCCAAGGTCACAGGTCGATGGTGTGATATGGGCAAAGGCCTTCTCGCACCTTGAAGCCATCTCATCTAAACCCCCCACGTAGCCCTTTTGTCTCTGGACTCTTCCTTATGAAAAAGGCAGGCCCGGGAGTCACCCCATACTTCCCATGTGTCATCCCACCTGCCCTGGGAGTCACCTCTACCTGGCAAAACAAAAAATGAGAGGGGGGGTTAAAAAAAAAAGGACCTTCAAAAACAAGGGCTTCCTTGGAAAACAGGGGCTTCTTTACCTGTGCTGTCCCATACCCTGCACATCCTCTCCTTTCTCGGGGGTGATACTGCTCCAAAGGCAGCCCAGGGGAAGGAGCTTCGGGTTCCTCGGCAAGCTCCCCCAGCGGACTCACGGGAGCCGGTGCTTCCTCTTGGATAAGTGGACTCAGAGCACAAAGAAATAAAGTCCGACATATTAGAAGCTATCCCTGCTGCTTTGGCCATCCCGTGCAGCCCTGATGCGGCTGAGTGGTCTTGTCTACAGCGCTGGTGCAGGGACTGAGGCCTCCCAAGTCTTCCACAGACACACACTCCTGCGAGCTCCCAGACAGTCCGGTCCTCTGGCCCTGGCTGCTGCAGGGGGAGATGTACCGGGAGGAGGGGTGGTGGGCACTGCCGCCTCAAGCGGCCTCCCAGGCAGTGGCGATCTTAGACAAGACTGAGAGCTGTATGAGGCCTTGCTCAGCCTCCACAGTGCCAGGCAGGATCCCCGCAGATCCCAAGTCCCTGCAGCAGTGGGCACTGGGGAGACAGCTCTAGGTGCCTTCCACAGAGTTCGGACCAGGGCTGCTGGGCAGAAGCTCTTGCCCCTGAGGTAGGGGCAGCTAGGGACCTGGGCAGCTATGAAAGTCAAGGGGAACACTGAGGAACCAGCACCCACTGTCTGAGTGTGCCCACAGCCTGTCCACTTCAGGCCTGGGGACTTGAAGCAGGACCAGTGAGTGGCTCTGGAGACACTCTGGGGGTCCTCCAGCCCTCGGGGAAAGAGCCCATCTGCCCCTCTCCAGGGCAACTCTTAGCGCTTCCTGGAGATCTAAACCAGGCCACCCCCGTTCTGGAATGGGTTCCTCGGTTTCTTTTCTTTTTCTTTTTTTTTTTTTTTGGTACCGGGTATCGAACTTGGGACCCTGCGCTTGCGAGGCAGGCACCGGAACCACTGAGCTAAATCCCCGGTCGGTCCTTCTCTTTCTTTTCTAAGGAGTCAAAGTTGTTCACTCCCCTCTCCACTCTTCAAACTCAACAGGTCTTTGGGGGACTTCCACTGCTGGAGGTGGTGCTGGAGTACAAATACAGAAAGTGGCCCGTCTACATCGCCATCACTTTATTGTACTGTCACCGTTAACTTAACTTTAAATACTACGGTGGGAAGCGAGGCCTTGGGCCCGGGGCTGAGCCCGGGCACCCGTCCCCAGGCACCGACCCGGCTCTGTACACTATTTACAGTTCCTGTTCCTTTCTCGACCCCTCCCGCAAGGCAGCGCGTGTGCAAGAAAGTAGCATCGTCTGTCTGTGCAAGTCCTTGAGCTGGCCAAGCGCCGCAGGCCGCGGCCGTCAGCTGTCCGAATCCAAATCGCTTTTACCTTCCTCTTCCCTCTTCTCAGGCGATGTCTTGGAGGATGAGGAGGAGGTCTTGTTCCACTTCTCCGCGTTTTCGGACTCCTCCGATGAAGACCGCTTCTGCCGCCTCCATTTGGCACGGCGGTTTTTAAACCAGACCTGTTGCGCAAGGGAGCAAAAAACACAGTGAAGATCGAAGGGCCGCTTCTCCCGGCGCAGGGACACCGAGGCGCTACGCGTGCCCGCTGGGTGAGAAATCGGCACCGCACGCCGCCAGCACGGACGCCAACAAAAGAGGGGAGCCACCCGCTCCCGTTTCCGCCTTTACACTCCACTTCCTGGGCCTAAAGCACCCTCCCGAAGCCTTCAGGCTGCCACTGCCAGGTTTTTTTTTTAAGTGCCAGGAGCCCAGAGAAGGCTGGGCAGACGGGGCTGGGGCCCCGATCGCAGGGCAGGAGCCACGGCGCCTACCTCCACTTTCTCCTCGCGGAGGTGCACCTTCCGGGCCAGCTGCTCACGCGTGCCCACGTCTGGGTACTTGGTCTCCTGGAAAAGGTTCTCCAGCGCTTCGAGCTGCTCGTCGGTGAAGATGGTGCGGTGCCGCCGCTTCCTCCGGCAGTGCAGCTGGTTGAGAAGCTGCAGCTCGGTGCGCGACAGCGTGCCCACGTTCATGTAGGGCAGCATCTGGTGCGGCACCGGGGACACCAGCACGGAGCCGGGGCCCTCGTAGCCTGCGACGGAATGGAGCGCACGGTCAGCCACCCTGTCCCTGTCCGAGCAACGGACACCCAGGCGCGCCCGTGCGCCCGTGACCGTCTCCCACTTAAAAAACCCATCGCAAGGGTGCTGGGAACCCGGGGGTCGCGAGAATCAGGGCGCAGGGGGGTGTGCGCGTCCACCGCACACGCGCGAAGCCAGTTATGGAGCTCTAGCAACCTCGTCGCCCCACACAGGCTCCGAGTTACGGCCCGGGCGTTGGTGGAATCGCGACCCAGACGCCGCGCGGCTTAGTTTTCGCTAACTCTCGCCTAAAATTGCCGCAAGAGGCCCGCCAACTCCAGCACCCGGTCGGCCACAAGAAGGACCCTAGGCAGCGGTGGGAGCTCCCAAGAGGTGGATAAAGCAAGCGGGCGCCCACCCAACCCCATCCCAGCCCCCGGCGAGGCCCGCGCGGCCCTACCTGGGGGCGTCGGGACGCAGGCGCACTGCTGGGCGCCCAGCGGCGGCACAGCCCCGCAGCAGGCCGGGCCCACGGGCGCCGCCTGCACGTGCAGCTGCCCGTAGAAGTAGTTGTTGTAGCCGAGGCGGGAGCTGCCGACCGCTGCCGGGAGGCCCGCGCCGCCAGGGGCCACGGGGCGCGGGTAGAAGGCGCCAAAGTCCGAGGAGCTGCCGCCGCCGGCGCCATACAGCGGGTCCCCCTGCAGAGCCGGGAAAACGACCGGGGCCGCGGCGCTGGGCGCCACCGGCAGCACCGAGTCTTTGCCGCGCGGCCGGGCGGCCAGGATGTTGTCGATGCTGAACATACTGGCGGGCATCCCCGGGCCTCGCGCCGGGACCTGGGGCGGCGGGGACGCGACGGGGAAAAGCGTCCGGGGGAGGGGGCGGCTGTCCTCCCGCGGGCGAGCGAAGCGAAAGAGAGGCCGGCGGCACGGCCCGCGCCCCTCCCCGTGCCCTGCGTCCGCGCGCCCTCCGCCCGCCCCTCGCCGCCGCGCGCCGCACTCGGCCCGGGGGAGGACGCAGCTCGGACCAGCTGAACCCTTGTTGGTTTTATACGGAGTCGACGTCATCCTGGATTTAGTTCCTGGTAATATGCAGATGACAGACAGAACCAGATTCGGCTCTTTCTTTTCCTTTGGGTGGGGGGAGGTCTCGAGGGGAGGGGGGAGAGGTGCCAAGGAGAGGGGGTTCCAGGGCCTGAAAAGAGATTGTGGATTGAGAATTAATGAAATTAACCTAATCTTTTCCATTCGGCGGCCCCGCAGCGGACCAGCCAAGCTGGGCAGGCGGCCTAATTGCCCCGGTTAATCTCATTAATTCCATTGTGCGGCCGCATTAACAGCTCCCGCCGCCGACCTCTCCGCCCCCACCCGCTTTCCTCAGATTGGGTCCTATTATTGGGTGCGATTTCCTCTGCCTATAGCTCAAATGCATTGTAGCCGATTTTACTTTGGAACTACTTTTCTCCCCCTTTAGGAATTTGTTTTGTTTTAGAAAATGTGAGTGGTTACGTTCTCCCTCCAGTCGGATCAAAAATTCAGCTCCTCCTCCCGGCCCGGTGCACTCACCGCCTAATTCCACCTTTTTAAAAAAATCTTGAAGTTCTCTCCCTAATGGAACAGTTTAAACCCCCTACCCTAAACCTTTTGTTTTTCTAAAAGCCAGCATTTGTAAAGGCAAAAAGGACGAAAGAAGAGATGTATCGCGTGTTTCTTAACCATTTTTTTCTTTTTGCTTCTTTATTTTTTTCAGGCACGTAAGATCTGGAAACTACCATACAGTCCCTACCTTGATCCTAACACAGAGAAGACCAAGTTCAACCACTATTTAAAATTCACCACCCTGAGTGTCGGTAGGTTTTTGTGCCTCTTCTTTCTAATTATTATTTTTGGAAAGGTGGGGGGCTTCTTCCCAAACTGTTTTTGGTTTTCAACCCGGACGGGGACTTTGGGCTCCTCTGTCTCCTTCCCCAGCAATTGAGTTGTCACGTTTTCTACTTGCTGCTTGGCAGCCCCCTCGCTTGCGCTGCCCTTCCCGCGGGCAGGCCCAGACTGGGCCCCCGGCCCCGGCCAAAGGCAGCTCCCTTGATTTGCGGGATCTTCCGCCGGGCGCGGCCCGAGGCGAAGCGAAGCGAACCCAGCACTTCGCGAAGGCGACCGCACACCCTGGAGAAGGTAGGGGACAGGCTGCTCCAGCTAAAGCAGCGCCCGAGGTGGCAGAGTCGTCCTTTCCCGGGCCACTCAGACCACTCCAGCGGAAGAAGCACACAGTACCGGACTGAGGAGAGACTGGCCAGGGCTGGGTTGGGGAACACTTCGGGCTCCCCAAGAAGGGCCACCTTCAACTCCTGCCTGGCGTTCCTGACTTCTCTCTAGCAAATAAAGCAGGACCCCCACCACCACCACCAAAAAAAAGTTGTCTGAAGTCTCTGAAGTAGGCTCCCTGTGCCGCGTCCTCCTCAGCGCTGGGGGAAAAGGGAAGGGCCACTTGTCAATTGCTGTACCTGAGCCACTGGTTCCTGCTGGGCCTTACAGCCGGGCAGCGAGCACAGCTTCTCCTTAGGCTTGGGCTTGGACCTCCGCATCCCCACGCCCACCGCTTCTAGCTCATAGCCTAGGAGATGCAAACTTCGGGTGGCTAGAGAGAGATTAGGACCTGCTGGGATGAGTCTCAGTTTGGAAAGGCAGTGGATTTTTTTAAATACTAAAAACCACTCAGGGAGTGTAACCCACTCCTCCAGAGAGGCCAGGTCCGTGGCAAAAGTGGGTGCCCCCCTTCTGCTAATCAGGGAGGGAAGCACTTTCCGTTCGAAGACTCCTGGCAGGCGGCAGGTTCCAGATGCACATGCTGCCCACTGGCCTTTCCAAGCTCCAGCTCCGGGGGCATGTGATGCGAGAAAGAGAACTGGAACTGCAGCTCTGCCTTTGCCGGCCATTGTGTTGGCAGCCAGGTGTGTGCTTCGGTCTGCTTGGGAGTGCATCTTTTGACTTTTGCCAGAGTCTAAGCCTAGCAGGAAAAGTGCTGTAGGATGTTTGGGGCCAGTTCTCATCTGTCCCATTTTGCAAAGGGTGTGCAGAGCAGCACCGGGCTGCGTCCTCAGCCCTGGACCCAAAAGAGGGCCCACAAGTTTTTTTTTTTTTTGTACCGGGGATCGAACTCGGGTCCTTGCACTTGCGCAGCAGGCGGCGAAACCACTGAGCTAAATCCCCAACCCAGGCCCACAAGTTTTTAAAAGTATGAAACATCCTCTCCGGTCCAGTGCTTTGTGTCTCCTCCCTTGGTACTTTGTTCTTAACTGTCAGGTTTAAGAAAGCCGTAGCCAGCGTCTCTCTTTCAGAAAGCCATCTTGCTGTACTCCTGACTCTACACTGTACAGGAGTGAGCCTTGGAGCTGAAGACTGAGCAGAGCCACCTGGCAAATTTGGAGGCCTCGGGATTTTATTTTTATATATTTAGTTTTGGCAATTGAACACAGGGCCTTCGCACTGAGCTACACCCCCAGCCTCGTTTTTATTTTTTGGTGAAGCAGGGTCTTCCTAAGTCACCATAGGCTGGGCTCTAACTTGCCATCCTCCTGCCCCAGCTTCCCAGAATGCTGCATTACAGGCTCTGCTACCAGGCCGGGTTTGGAGGGTTGTAATTGATCTAACCAAGTCTAGCCTTCATCGAGGGTCCCTTACAACCCTAACATTGAACCAGGGTGACTGTCACCTGTAGGCCAGTTAGATTGGGGATGGACCTGGGGGCTTTTTCCTGTTCTTTTCTTTAGGAGGAGGAAGTGTGTGGTCCCCACCTTTGCCCGAAGCCAAGGGCGCTATCTGTGGGAGAGCTAGGTCCAAGATAAGAAAAGGGAGTCTGCAGGCTTTTTCCTCCGCAGAGGGAACTTTCGGGAAAGGGGTCACGGGACTGGAGCCACACACTACTTTTGTTGCCCATTCAGCTCTGGGGGTCTCCCCCGTGTGGCGGGACCTCCCCCACTGGCTGCATCCTTGATCTGTGGGCTCAACTCTTGGTTGGGGGACGCACACACCCTGGGAAAGCGGTCAGGGTGTTTTGCGCCCCGCTATGCCTCCTCAGCGGGCAGAAACCCACAAGTGTCCTAAGTGCGCGCTGCACAATCTCCAATCTCGCTGGGCGCAATTGGAATAACAAATGCGACGCAAGCAAATTGTCCCCCTCGGGTTGCTAAGCGATTGTTTGTCGGCCCCGCACGCACGGCTCAGCATGGGAGGACCTAGAGCTTCGGGAGGCGGCTGCAGTGCTCGGTTAGAAATTCAGTAAACACGCCGCTGATTTTCCCTATTATCACCCAAACACGATTTCACACAAAGCAATCACCGCGAAGAAGTCTATGAAAATGTGTTTGTTGAGGAGTCACTGTCTCGGTAATAGCCCTCATTTTTAAGATATTAAAGAAGAGATCAGTGGATTCCGCATGCATAAGGCGTTTTTTGCCGGTCCACGACTCGGGAAGGCGCGTTCGCGCCGCGCGCCTCGGTCATCGCTAAATTGATTCGAAGAGCATAGATTAAATTGCTTCTCTGATTTAAAACAGAGCACCCAAGTGTGCGTGTGGGTTGTCTCTTCTTGCCCCAAGATATTCTCACACTGACCCCATACTCTTTACACCCGAGCCCTAGAGATACAAAAAAAAAAAAAAAAAAGCATTTGCGGCCCTAACTTCTTACCATTTCTTAATCCGTTCAGTCTCTTGCTTGGTCACAGAACAGTTTATAATCGTGTTTAAGTAGGATTTTTCGTACCATGCAAAAACCCGATGAGTCCTTTGCAAAGGTAGGAGCCCTCCGGGCTGCCGGTAGCGAGTCAGAGGAATTGGGTACAAAGCACAGACCCGGGCAGCGGGCTCAGCGCGGAGACCTCAGGACAGTTTTCGTACCGTGCAGATTGGTGTTTGTGCTTTTAAAAAAGAAAAAAATGAAACTCCAGCGCCTCAAAAACTACTTCTTGAAAGCTTTGCAGAGTGGGTCCTGGGATTGACCGAGGGGTGCAAATTCAGAACTGCAAGTGCTGGGTCCCTCGTTCAGCCGAACCCAGGACACTTAGGAGCTGGGTTTTGTTAAGTTTTACAGCATTCTAAATAACAGCACCAGAGCCCTGGGGACAAACTAATCAAGGTGTTAGGAATGCTTAACATAACCCTAGCGAAAGAGGGGCATCGGAAAAGTGTCTATTCCCAGGGCCTCAGAAACTGGGGGGAAAGAGAGCTTCGGTTTTCCCGGGTTGCAGAAATCTGCTTTTAGCTAGGTTATTTACCCAAGTTTGTTCCAAAGTGACTGTGCTGTAACTTTTGCAAATCACAGAATGCAAATGTCCATAATTTGTTCTCAGAGAAACTTTCTCTTGAAATGATTAGCAAAGTCAGTCATTTGAAAATTAGAGCGAAGGCACAGACGTAGCCGAAGCCGCTCGCTCACCGCTATCAGCTTCTAAAGTTTTCATTCATGTAAACCTCATTAATGAAGATCTTTTATTTAAACGTCAAGGGGATTTGAAATCTAGAGTAAATTATGAAGCTTGTATGTCTAGCCAAGTCATGGGTCAAATGCATTTGTGAAAAACTGCTAAAAGAGCATATGGTTTTGAATTTTTCTACAATGACTAGTGTTTAAATAAATTGCTTGTACTGCTTAACTTCATGTGTAATTTTGACAGAAATTGGCCTATAGCCTTTTGATATGTAAACATTTCAGCCTTTTATGCGGTATAAAAAAGACACTTGCTTTTTAGGATCAGCTAAGGCAGTCACCCTGTAATTCAGAATGCTGGCACCTACCATTACATTCTTGCTAGATTTCAACTTTCAAGTGGCAGCCTCAGGGAAAAAAAAAGAAAAGAAAAGAAAAGAAAAAAGAGGATATTTCAAAAGCAATGTCCATTTGGGATTAAAAGCTGTAAATGAGGTGAGAACGTGCCACTTACTATCTGAAAGAAATGGATAAACCATAGTTATTAAAGAACATCTCTGTCACTTTTCTTTAAGTCAGCCCATCTGAGGGGACACTTAAGCATGTCATTAAATGCTTAAAATGTCTTAGGGCCGAGCCAATCAGTCCAACACACAAATAGGTGTTAAAAATCTAGGTATAGGTTCAGGATGTTGCTAGTGAAATGGCTCCGTGTCACAGAACCCATTAAGATGCAAAAATCGGACTCTGGAGAGAATCATGGAGGGAATAGAATGACACATTCTCATGCTTAGGCTTTCTTGGTTGAAGGCTGTTACTGGGAGCTGTGGAGCTGGGACAGGGGACAGTTCTGAGCCCTCTCTGGGCTGCCAGGGTCTTGAAACCTAAATCTACAACATCCCATTTGTTACTAATATGTCTGCCTTCCATCAGTAAGCACTGGGATGTGGATTGGGCACCGCAGTGAGGGGGGACAGGGTGGTCCCTTAGAGTGTGAGACAGGACCACATGTCGACTTCCGGCGAGCTAAGGTCCTTCCCCACGTGGCATCTAGCCTTGTGCACACTCTCCCAGGGACACTGGCTTGCTGGAGAAGTTTTAGAGGTGCTGGGCAGGCTGGACAGACCCACTGCTTTGTACACAGTGAACCTCCCCAGCAAATGGAGATCCCTTTTCTTAAATAGACCTCCCTGGGAAGAATCTAATTAAGAAAAAAAGACTTGCTGGGAAAGACAGGAGGAGGTGTTTTACTTCAAATTCTTATGCATTCCAGTTCATCAGATTGTGGTCAGCAATCCTGAAAGCAAAGAATACATTTCATGACATAAAAGAAGCATGAGAAGCTTTTGTTTTGTTTTGTTTTCTAAGCATTCTATAGTCCAACCTTTCAGTCTATTTTGAAATGAATAAAGGGTAAAAAAAAAAAAAGTCTCCATTAGCTGTAGTTTTAAAGTTCTTAAGAAAAAAATTTGATCTGGAAATAAAATAGTTCCATAGCCTTCAGCTGCTTAACTTTGGCAAACTTATCCCCAAATGTGTTTGGGGTCAAAGTTAGCTGGGCAAGATAAGTATTTTGATAAAAATAAGAATACTTACTTCTGGGGCAGGGATTTAGCTCAGTGGTTCCGGCACCTGCCTCTCAAGCTCAAGGTCCCAAGTTCGATCCCCAGTACCAAAAAAAAGAATACTTAATACTTTAAAGATACTTTGGCAGACTGAGAGGTTTTTAGTTTTGAAGGAAAGAATATTATAAAATAAAACTGAAAATTAAAAGCTAACCATGCATGAGTGGCTATTGCATGTCTAGAAGACTAGTACCAGTGGAAATAGGTTTAAGTGTATTCATCTTTTTAAAAAAGACTTGATGAAATGGTCATTGGCTGATAGATCATCTTAATATCTTGAGACACAGGGCTGGGGATTTAGCTCAGTGGTTCCACCGCCTGCCTCGCAAGCACAAGATCCAGAGTTTG